TGCCTGCTACAACTTGCTGTTATCTTAACGGAAGTGGAGCTGGGGAGGGTTCTTCAAATATGTTACTTTTCCAGGAAGGTACTGAACGTGGATGGAGTTTTCAGTTATATTTTTGTCTCAAAACAAGAAGGTGATTTGTTGTCATAAACATAGGCAAAAACATGCTTTAAATAAAACCAAAACCAAACCCACAACAAAAACACCCAAAGGCAGATTTAGAAAATGTCTATTAGTAAAAATATAAATATTATCAAAGAAATAAAATCAATTTTACTACTAACAGCTTAGTTAATAGTAAGTAGATTTTTTTTTGAGATTTTTTTTGAGAGATATAAATTCTAGAGGATCAGAATCTTTAAAATGCCCCATTCTGGTACATACTGAATACCACATGGAGTATTTTCCCTGCATGAAAACCATGTAGGAAAAAGTTCGGACTTATTTATTAATATACTAGTATAAGTTGCTGTAGCCAGGTATGCTGTTCATTAATTTGTGCTAATGATAAAATCTAACGATTTAGTTGGAAGCAGAACATATTGCTTCAGTGCAATTAGGAAACCTTAGGACATCAGACTCCACGACTCCTAACAGATTATCAGCAAGTGCCTCTTGGCCGCTTTGTAGCAATTTGCAGCTCTGGAGTTTATTAAAGCTGCCAGTTTATTACTGAGTTGCACTGTTCTTCAGAAATGCTCCTTTTTCTCCAAGTTCTCTATATTTTTTTCAAGCAGATCATTTTTGTTTCCCAATTTTTCCCATCTCATTAACCCGGGGTACTGTTTTTAAGTTCTTGGCGGCCTGAGAGCAGCAGGACAGTGAAGGTCCTGCAGCTGCACTGTGGGCAATTTCCTCCGACACCATTCTTCTTGGATCCATCAGCGTGGGTTCAGCTGGTGCTTGCACACGGGCAGTTTTTTCCCTGCTTTCGAGGAAATACAATATACATTGCAAAAGCCAAGGTATGTGTTTCCGCTGTTACCTCTTTATAAGGATATTTGGTACATATTAACAGGGTTATAACATAAACATTTCTAGAAGAGTTTGCAGAGCATAAACATGGATGATTCAGTTTTTTATTTGCTTTTGCTCTTTCTTGAAAGATCAGAGAGTCACAGAATAATTTAGGGTGGAAGGGACCTCCAGTGACACTTCCCATGCAAAACAGATGCCCCTGTCATATCTTACTTTTAGTGACGACTCCCTCTAATCGAATGATATTAGGGTGGTCAAACTGTCCCATGATGCTTGCTTCTCCCAGGAAGTCCCTCCTCTGTTTTTCTGTGTAGCCAACTTTCAGGGTTTTGATAGCCACTGAAATTTCCTTTTTAGAAGGCAGCTTTAGGCGCCCACTGCACACTTCTCCAAATTCCCCTAAAAAAGTGGAAAAATGACAAAAGATGAAATGTAGTTATTTCATGGGGATTTAAGAAAGAAGACTTAGCGTTCAGCAAAAGTCCCTGAAGTGTGATGTTTACTGGTGGGCCGCAGACCGGAGCTCCAAGAGAGGCCTTCGGACAACTACTTAACATTTCCATGCTTGGGTTCTCCAGCTGTCAACTGGACAATGTCACTTATTTACACTGCATATCCAGATGACTGCAGAGCAGAGGAATGCATAAACGTCAACAGAAAATTCCCTTTTTGTTTCAGTTGATGCACTTTGAGACAATAGTAGAAGGGCTAACTGATTAATGCAGAAGTATCAGAATAGTCATGCATCCTTGTGAATATTAGACTGTTCATTTCTACCAAAACCAGTACAGTTCCCAATTCTTTTACTTATTTCAATTAAAGTAGCAAGATAATTCATATCAAATGAATTTATCTACACAGCTGAAAAGAAAAAAGGAATCCATACAGATTATCTTTGTTCTGACATTATTCAGATGGATCTAATCACGCAAATATATATTGTCACTATGGGACCTGATAGTCCACCATGAATATCGTGCCCACTGTATATTGTGCGAGATCCCTAACTAGAAAATGGCAGGTATCCGTGGATGTTTACTTTTATACAATGTGGTTTATCCTTTGCTATGTAACATCCAAGAAGAGTGCACAGGGAAAATTATCTTATCTCTTATTCAAATGAGCAAGTATTAAATATGTTGACAAATTGCTGGAAGAAAGCATCTCACTTGAAAATGTCTGTATTCAACTAATGATTACATAAACCATATAAGGAAGTTTCAGTATCTTAAAAAACATTTGAGCAGCAACTGACTTTTGATTCCCAATTATCCAACAATCTTAGATTTCATATGACACAATAAACTGCACACACAACATCCCAGTTAAAATTACAGTAGCAACTTTTTGTCTCCTTGTCTTAACGATAAAATAATTGAAATAATGAAAAATACAATAAAAACAGACAATGGATAAAATATACAAGAAATATGATGGCAAGAATTGTCCTACATGTTTATTTATATTTAAAGACAAGGAAAACACTTTACTGAACAGAGAAGAAAAGAAAGGTGTTATGTTTTGTGTTTTTTTTTCTTTCAAGAAACTAGAGGATGTTGCTGGAGGGCTTTAACACTCATTCTCCAACAATACATGCCTCTTCAGGTTCTTTTGTCAAAATACATGAGATCTAAATATAAATAGCCCCTCATATGCCGTATTTTGTCAAGTGGCCTTGTATAGAAAGTTTGACTTGGAAACAAACAAGCCCTATAAATCTAAATCTAGCTGGCATCATTTTTATGCAAACTGGGAATTTAGTTTTTATTTGTGAGTGATAGAGTGATTATACAGCTTACATATGAGCTTTTCCCAACTTAATGTGTAATAATCCTAAATGCAATAGCATTACTATGCCTCTAAAGAGCAAAGGCTCTTGGAGCTCATTTGCCCACAGTGATGCTTTCTTTATCTCTGCAGCTGATTGTTTACATTAAGCAACATCTGTGAAAACAAAAAATGACCAAAACTGGCAGAAATAATAGGCAAACTGAAATCATGTTGCTCTTCATAGATTTAATGCTCAGAATGTGTAATGGGTTGCCAGCCCTTCACCATTGACTTCAGACGTGATACCACATGGGATACATTTTACATGTTACATTCAGCCCATTTATCTGCAAATTGAAATTATTCTTTCATCAACTTGCCACCAATATGGCTGGCATTAGAGTCCATGTCCCATTTGTGGCACTGCAATTCAGAAATGATAAAGGGAACAATAACAATGACCAGGATCTTAAAAGTCAGGGCTGTGTGTTCATGTTCAAAGCTCAAGGAATTGGTATTATTTATACACAACAAAGAATGAGAAGAGACATGACAATATTTTTGGCTTATCAAAATTATGGTTATAAATAAGATGGACACCAACTCCTTTTGCCAAGAGACAAACCAAAGAATAGTTTCAAATTACAATAAAGGTCAGTTAGATCAGGAAAAAAATTCTAACAGTAAGGATACTTGGACAGTACAAAAGATTTTTTAGGGTGACAATAAACTCTCTTATCTTGGAGATTGTAAAGAATAAGCATCTGTCAAAAATGGTACCTAACAAGTTCTGTTTTGGGCAAGGGTGTGGACTTAATGACCTCTTGAGGTCACTTTGCAGCTTTTTTTTTTCAAGGTTTCTCTGTTAGACAGCCAATTTAACCAAAAAAACTGAACAAATGTGTGACAGGGCAATGACCTTTCTCTGTTGCTAATCCAGGCTAGATTTGAGTCAACAATATAGAAGTGAATGTCACCTTATCTTATCACAACTTGCTTAGCTGCTTCATCTTCTAGGCAACGTACTGTGCTATTAATGTAATAACCAAAAAAATTAAAACCAGGGTATATCTTTATATACATATATACTACTAAAATAGCACTTACATTACATCCATTGTTTCTAACACTATTTGTATTTCAGACTGCCAAGACAGGCAGCAGCTCAGAAAATGAATTGTAAAACCTATTACTAGTAACTAATGGGTGTTGAGTTCTGTTCAGACTTCTTAATTAAAAATATCCAACCTCCGCAGGCCAAAGTGACTAGTATGCTTTACCAAGAGCAAACACTGCTTCTGTTCAACTACTAACCCCAGCTCAATACTGTCAGAGCACCACAAAGGGGAAGAACAAAGCACATCTTGAAGGATGAACAGAAGGAAGGGAAAAAAGTGCTTGAAATAAATCTTGTAATGTCCAGCTTTGTATTCCCTTTTCTCTATGTCTTAATGGTCCAAAAAGCTATAACAAGCTAACCTCTTAAAACTATTGTTCAGTTACTATCAACGGAGACTATAGCTATGATTTCAGCAAGCAGTCCAGCAATCAACCCTTCATTTCTGACCGGAATTGTATATCTGATGTTTGTTTGACTTTTGGGAAGGAAAAGGTTACGGCTCATGTCCATCAACACAGTCCCGTTTAGCCATGGCTGCACAATTTAGAACTTGTGGAATCCAATTAATCACCCAAGTGCCTCGAGGCCAGTGGATGCTGCAAGAGACTAAAAGTTGGACCCTTCATAGCAATGGAGCTTACTGCTGTCCGTGAATATAAAATGGGTTTACTTTCTTGGAAAATGATTTTGCTGGAAAAAGCTCAGTGGGCAGCCCAACTACGTTAATCTTTGGTTCTTTCATATACAGGGCAGTATGGATGCTACATAAGTCTATCTGGTCAACACCCATAGTGACATGCAGTTACACTACATCTCTTTCCTGCAAATCGTTATTATATGGTCCCAGTAAGAAAGGGACTGGATCTCATCAGATGTTGTTTAGGAGGAATAAGGACTTGTGTTCGAGTTGGAAGGTGGAAAACCTGGCACTGATTTTAAGAAATGAGGTTGATGGCTTTTCATCTAAAGCCTTTCTGAAGTGTTTATTTTTAATTATGCTACACACATAAACATTGTACAACCTGCCCTGCAGACTGATATGTCTACTTACATGTGGAAAGCAAATAGATAATTATTAGGAGGGCTGTTCATGATATAAAGATCTCTCTTCAGGAGATCTTAATTTCTTTTTAAATAGGCTACTTAGTGCATCAGTGAATGGCATTTGCTGTGCATTTAGACCCAGGGGACAAGTAAAAGATGACTCTGTGAAATTAGCTACTCCCTTTACTTTGCTGTGTTTTAAATCATGATTGTACTGCTGTGCACAGAACTCCCTTGAAGTTGGAGAGGCACCTAAGCTGAATGTTTCACAAACCTCGTGAACCTCAGCAACGTTCTACAAGCCCTCACTGAGATACTGCAAACCTTTACAATAAGTTCATGGACAGGTAGCCCCTAAACTTTAGAAATACTTTGATCAAGATGTTATGCTATAAGCATGTTTAAACTTTGAAAGAAAAGCAAATGCTTGCTTTCACGTTCAGCAAAGCAGATACTTAAATCTATCCCAAATCAAGAAAGTACTTTCTGTAGTATTCTCTTGCTATCCAATTGGATTTAAAGTTCTTAAGTGGTTTGCTGAACCAGATCCATAAAAACAAGTGAGTTGTTTTAAAAGAAAGAATTACTGTAAAGAAAAATCTGAAAAAGTGGCTCCTGACCTCAATTTTCTTACGCTTAGCCTCCCACCAAAATCCCTTGTGTTTTTCTTGAGGTTCTTTTGGACAAGAGTATTTCCTTATTGCATTTGGGTATGTTTTCAAAGCTATGTAGGCTGCTCTCTATTCTCAGAGACTTCTGGCTAAAGCTGTGAAAAACTACTTGGAAAAGTACCTCAGAATATCAAGATTACTTGCCTGACTTGAAGGTCTCATTACTTACGTCACACTTCAATGCAGTTAAATGAATCCCTTCTTCTCAAATCACTGTCTTTTTATAATTTCATTCACACTTGCACTTGTAAAGGAGAAGGGCAGGAAAAGACCAGTCGTTCACTCAAATAAGTCATTGACTCAGTAAGAGACAGGAAATGCCTTTCTGCTTTTGGGGAGGAAAGAAGTGTTCTGCAGAAGCAGCCTTGGAGGCACTCACTCTGAATGCAAAAGCTACCACATGCTGAACGTGACAGCAGCGTAAAGTGATGCTGCAAATGCATTTTGGAAGCTCCCAGCACTCTATAGCCTGATTTTCTCTGTTCTTCCCTGCCTGGCTCTTCCTGTTGGCATCTCTGGCAACTGCTAATAGGAAATGTTAACTGTAATGCCATATGTAGCTTAGGCTACATGAATCTGAGTCATGGTCTCCAACAAATGGCTTTATTATATCTTGAGTCTGAGCTTCAATGTAGAGGACCTGCAGGAACCTACTGTCACTTTCACTGAAGTGGAGTGGAGCAAAGGGACTTATTTTTTAAACACCTGACTTGTTTAGGACATATCCCTTTTTTGAAGCCTCTCAGAAAACTCTTCCTCCATTTTCAGATGCCATATTTGGCAAATTTTGGTTTACCTCTCATTCTCATGTGCATTCTGATTAAAAATAGGTCAGAACAATGAGCTATAAAATATGACATATCATTGATTCTTATTAATTTGTTTTCTAGATTCATATACTGCATACAGCCCAAGTTTAGAAAGCTTACATTTGTGAACGAAGGCTCCTGAAAGTCTTATAAGGAAACATACTGCTCTTGGACTTAGCTTTTCAGTAACCCCCTCCTATATCCCCATATTAATTCTCTATTATGTGCAGTAAGCAGAGCTTTGCTGCCTTGACTGAAGATAATGGAGAACAGTGCACTCTTGTGGGGCAAAATTAAAACCAGCAAGGAACAAAAATTCTGCCTTTGCAGAAGATAACCTAACTTCATACAAGCAGTTGAGTAGCTGCAGTAAGAGAGGATACTGCTGTTTCTTTTTACTGGGTGATTCAGGAGGTGCACTGAGTACAGTAGTTTGGTTCTACATTTTTTTCCAAATGAAAATCTTTTGCTGTGCACTAGGAGTCTGTCTGTCTCACATCTCATGTTTTTAATTCAAATAGTAAATTTAGACAGGAGCAAAAAATCAATAATAGAAGAACTAGTAATTTTCAATAGATTAAAAATCAATAGTATTTCTCACAAATGCTTTAATTTAGCAGGAAAGCTGACACTTCATGATCTTCTGACTCGATGAGACAATCTGCCACTTCACTTCAAGGAGCAAGCACACATCCTATCAGGAACTACATGCTGCATTGCAACATGGACAACTCAGTGTGATGAGACTTTCTGTAATCTGGCCCCTCTGCTACAAAATCTGCTCATTTCGACAGTTTGTTTTCTGTAAATCCAACAATCTATGGCGTCTGTATGGCTCAGACAATCAGTTATTAGACAGACAACCCTTTCCTCCTAAATCGATAATTCAAATCCAAAGCAGTGACCAAAATCAATCCAATGACCAAAGATCATTGCAGTCTGATGGATGCGTGGTGACTGGTATGAAATGAGTTTGTGGTATCACTGAAGGCATGATAGTCAGCAATCCTTTTAAGGGAAAAAAAGAAAACGTCTTCACAGTTGATACCATTTTCTGTGCTGGCAGATTTTAAAGAGAAACATAGAAGTGAGGTTGAACTCCTTTTTCACTCCCAACAGTGCTGCGTTCAAGTGTGGGCTGATGGGTGTCCTTTGAAAAACTGTCCTGCTATTTGCTTTCTGTGGGGAAAAAAAATAGAACTATGTGCCCTTATCTTTTCATATGCACCGAAGTCAGCTGTAAATATGACCTACTAATTCGAAGACTTTAGAATGTTTCCCTTCCAGACACAAATATAAACCCAAAGATGTAAACCAGTACATACAGCAAAAAGTTATCTTTAGTTCAATATATTTGATGGTCATTACCTGCTCCAACTACTTTATCAATGGATATATTAGAAGCATCTAGTTCCTTGGCAAATTCATGCACAGCTTGATTGGGATCCTCATATGTATGCGGATCTACGTAAGTTCTCAGGCCTGGGAGTTTTACTGTGTAAAAACAAATTCAGAGAGAAAATGTTACTTAGACTTAATTAATCCTTCTAAAGAAAGCTCATGAGACAATAGAAACCAAATCAATAGAAGAAAAAGGTATACTGCTTCTTCAAATCAAACTGCTTTTGATGGGTCTTCAGGAATCTTAATATAGAGTGAAACCAGAGACACTAATGTAGTTATTGCACAGAAGTCTGAAAACCAATTTTAAATATATCTGCACTTGCCATATTTAACTGTTTTTCAAGTATTAAAATACTACCCACCCCTCCCAGCTTGCTACATTTAGATGCTGGCTTATATTGTCTCTTTCAAGGTAACAACAAAAAGGCAAGGAACAAAATGTGTGATGCTACTGTCAACCTGAAAAGTTTTTAGGAATATATTAAGGAGAGCACATTAACTCGAACTTTTTCTTTCCGAGTCTTCCAACAAGATGCATAAGTAAAGAAAATTATACATGAACAAATGCACCTCTACCTCAATCCCTCTGCTAGTACATACATGGATGGCAGCCAGTTGTTCTTCTTATTAAAGTCTGGTTCTAGGGCTCGGTTACCCTAACATCCATGTTATCGTTTTGTCCCCACCCCCAGTTTCCTGGCCAGGGATTGTTCTGTTTGCCCGGGGCAAGCGCTAGTTCGGACGACTGAATGCTTTTAAGGGCAGTTTGAAGCTCTCCACAGCTCTTCCTCCAGCAGGACTGGGGGTGGCAGGAACATATTATCATTCCCAACCTTTCTCTCCAGAGATGCTGAAGGCAAAGCATAGCCTCATACCCCCTCCCTGGCTCAAGGCTCTGCTTGTGCTTGTACCTGGTACCTTGTGTGCCTGCCTCTGTATTCATTTTAGAACACGAAGATACTTTGTTAACAAAAAGTGAAATAACCGTCACGTCCAGCTTGAAGTTTTCTGCTTCTGACACAAAACCTGCATTCCTGGACATGTATTCTGGCGTTTCCTAACTGTAGCAGTTGGTCTTGTAAAAGATATTAACTCCTCCTACAAACACTGCCATAACCCACTCAGGAATATCCTTTCCAGCTTGGCATTATTATACTGCATCAATTTAGAATCATAGAATCATAGGATGGTTTGGGTTGAAGGGACCTTTAAAGGTCATCTAGTCCAACCCCCTTGCCATGGGCAGGGTCATCTTCAACTAGATCAGGTTGCTCAGAGCCCCGTCCAACCTGACCTTGAATGTCCCCAGGGATGGGGCATCCACCACCTCTCTGGGCAACCTGTTCCAGTATTTCACCACCCTCTTTGTAAAAAATTTCTTCCTTATATCTAGTCTAAATCTACCCTCTTTTAGTTTAAAACCATTCCCCCTTGCCCTGTCGCAACAGGTCCTGCTAAAAAGTTTGCTGCCATCTTTCTTATAAGCCCCCTTTAAGTACTGAATTTGTTGACGGCTAGAATAGTTAAACCTTTTTTGCTGGGGTTACACAGATGGGAAAAAAATACCTTTTGGGCCATTAGTTAGAGCACACCATTGTTTCGTCAAACAATCCCAAGTGTATGTAAAAAAAAGAAATAATTTAATGGAGATTTATTGGCCTCAGAATTGAGAAAGAAATGATAAAACTGAGTTCCCAAGCTAATTGCCTCGAAAACAATGCAAACTAAGAGCCATGCTCTTAACACAAGGGCTGCGTGTGCGTGGCATTAAATGCCGACTGTGTTTCCTTCAAGAGCCTGATGATTACAGAATTACTTGCAAGTAAAACAAAAAGTAATTGGCTGTATATTGCTGTTGGTTAAAAATCTTGTAAATGCTCCTTTCCATCCATGCTGAATGTACATTACAGGCTCCCTCATACCCCCAATAAAAATAACAACAATTAAAAGCTTCTGCACTGTGGGGTTTTTGGCTGCAGATTTTTAATGCTGACCCCAGAGGTTCCCAAGATCAGGTGATGGTGACTGCAAGGAGAATAATCCCTTCACACCAATAATTAAGGGCAGCCTGTATAGTAACTGGGTTCTGTCATGAAAAACAGATAATAAACACATGCACATGTGTTAAGCTGTACTACTTTACAGCTCATTCTGTGCAAACATAATAATTTACATTTTCATTTTAACAGCATGAATTGCCCTAAAGGTAGCAAAAAAATAAAAAGGGCCTAGCCAAAGAAGGCAAAGGGAGAGGATCTGAGGAGGTGAAACATTTTTGCTCCTTTGAAGTAATATTATAGGATTTGTAATAAGGCTGCAGGGAATAGTTCATGGCTGGAGCCTTTTTTAAAGTAATTCAGAATAAACTGACTGAAATAAACCAGCTGCTGTATTTAAGATGCTGAAAGTTTACGACAGCCATGGAAGTTACTTTATCCTTTTTTAGTTCATAGGAGCAATTTTCTTATTCTTTGAGAAAGACTGTAATTTAGTAGAATAAAGTTTCAACAGCCACACACGTACATACATACAAATCCTAGCAGATAAATATCTGCAAAATCAATAAATAATTTTCAAGAATTTCTAACAGAAATACCAGGTCCATGATCGGCTCTGTTCTTACTACACAGTGAATCAGCATGGCACTACTCAGAAAACAGTACATAAATATCTAAAGCCAAATTAAAAGCAATTTAATCCACAGGAATTTAACAGCACTGACATGTTTAAGAATAGTGATTGCAACTTTCCATTGTGTGGGAGTAAGGACAGCAAATACTGACCTGTTATTTGTCTGTGACACTTATTTTACTGGCTGTTTTTATTTTATAACCTCATTAAGTTTGGATGATGAAGCATTAATTCTACGGGCCACATGTAACCGCATAGATTTTTTTGAGACTAGTTGGTTAGCGGTTGTTGGGCTGCACGAAGCAACCCCACTGTTACAGCTTGTGTATCCCCTGACAGTGCCGGGGAAGGAGCACACGTGTTGTGGATATGCATGCTCACGGCTCTCTGGAGATAAGGAGGGGCTCCAAACTTAAAATAATAATATGAACAGTCAGAGAACAGTTACTCCATTGTCACGGGGATTAGGAAGTAGTTCTAATTTCCAACTACTGCAGGTAAATCTCTCATTAAAATCTTAATTCGATTATATTTGGTGGGGAGGCATCTGATTATGGTACCAACAGTTCTTTTCTTGCAGATGGTACAGCGCCACTGTTGTGTGCAAAAAAACCACGTACAGTAACCTTACAACATGCTAAGCAATAGAAATACACGGTTCAACATGGTTTATGTGGTGTAGCAGGATATTTTTCTGGAGCTGAAACAGTTTTGAAGACAAACTACTGCTTCTTATTAAAACCATGCTCATTAGACACCAAGAATTCTGTGGGTGAAAAAAAGGAATTTCCAGTCTTGGTGTTTATGAAGGGTGTTATCCTTGCCCTGTAAAGATGAAAAAAAATCCAAAATGCAGTAACAAAAAACCAAGAATCCCCTGGACTCCCGATCAGGAATTTTAAACTATCACCTTCCTCTCCCCTCAGCTTCTTCTGCTCCAAAACTAATTTATTTCTATTTTAAAGAGGGTATATGGATGGAGCTTTGACTGTGATCTAGTCTTCACGATCCACAGTTCCTCTGCTGTGGGGAAGTGCTGCAGGGTTATGCACATTGCAGAGAGGATCCAGGATCAGAGAAGAGCTGAAATACTGCAGGATGACATTTCCCTCCAGCCAGGACACGTGCCTGGTCTCAGAAAATCAACACTTCTTTCCCTGAGCACCTCCTGGATGGGATCTTGCTCCATGCTGTTCCTTTCAAGGGCACAACCAAACGACCCAGAGTAGCCATGAACAAAGCCCCATTTAGCCTTATTAAAAATAGGTACACAAACATCAGAAATAGATAGGCTTTTGAACATGTTTCAAAGTAGCCCAGATTCCTCAGGATGAGCAAAATCTCACATCCTTAACTATATACAATTTTTGTGATACAAAGGAGACATAAGTCAATAGAAAGGCTCTCTTCTTAGTCCTGGATGAGACCCAAAGAAAGCATAGACATATTCATTCTTGCAAGTGGGAAATCAGGACTTGAACAAAACATGTTTGTAAAAATGGATTAAAAAATCCCATTAATTTGCGAGACACTTGTTTAGTAGTTTTCTTAAATTAAGAAACTACTCCAAATCACTTTTCAGCCTATGCTTAGAATAATTCCAAACTTGATTATTAGTGGACCAACTTCGTCAAGCAAGCAATTTTCACAGTCCTTTCAGCAGTCATCAAGATAGGTTTCATTGATTTTATATTTTGCTTTGGGAAAAAAAATGCCATTTCTTAGACTTTATATAGCTGATAATGAGGAAGTTGAAGTTACACTCTGCATTTCAGTAAGGCACAGCAGAATCAATATCATACTGCTAACCACATGCATTGTTTGAACATAGACAATGGTGTTTTGCTCATTGCTAACCTGAACACAAATGAAAGAATTTGAAACAAAGAATAATTGTTTGGGGAAAATCTCCTTACCCACAAGAGAAGAGAGAATTCTCTTCCCAATTTCACCTTGGTTTAAGTGAGGTATGACTTTTTTTTTTTTAAATTGAAAAATACCAGTTATCTAGGGGATGAATTCAAGAGATCTGGAAGCATTAAAAGGCTTCAGTAACTTACAATGGCCATTCCCAAAATGTAGTCTTTTCTCATCAGTGCCATGTTTAGACTTCTTGTATCCACAGAATCTACAAGCAACGGAGAAAAAAAAAATTAATATAGAGAATTTTATATGTTAACTGCAGGTGGAAACAGAATAAAATGTTTTCCCTCCACAATTAAATGCCTGTTTGAAAGTTTAATGATATTTACGTTCTCTGTGCCCTATAGAGGCATGTTATGTTCTCAGGGAATTTGAGGAAATTGGCTAATGAGAGGATTTGTTGGTTTTTGACCCCTACAGTTTAATTTTACAATTGCCTAAGAATGTGTTTATAGCATTTTTTAACAACTGCTGCATGATTGGGGCTGCTAACGTTAGCGGGCTCATTACCAAGCATGAAGCAGTATTTGGAGCTCCCGGGCAGCGGACAAAGGAGAAGGTGCAAACCAGCCACGCTGCTGCCTGACGACACCCAATTTGCCATGCCCATCAAGGCCTCTCGAGGAAATGGAAGCGGGAGTAAATGTACAAACCAGATGATAAACTAACCTCCCAATCAAGACGTACACCACAACTGTGAGGAGAATAATGGCTACTGCCGCTGAAATGGCAATCATTACGACCTGGCTATTCTCACTGGAAATGGAGAATGCTGGAAAGTTAACACAAAAATATATAAATAACCCCCCCCACACGTAGCATTGATTACATGACAATTGACATTCATACAGGGAACAGACAGACAAAGTCATCACTATAAAGCATTTGGTCTCCTGCCAAATATTTCATCTATTATGTAATTTTTCATCAGACAAATAAATACAAGGGAAGAAAACAAAAGACTCCGGCCATCTTTGACAATTTATCAAAGTTGTTTCTGCTACTGTCGATTTTTACTCTTGCTGATTGTAGTAACTGCTGTTACTTACATATAAACTGATACTTACATATAAACTTATATGTAAATACAAACAAACATACATACCATGACATACATATATTTTGTCACGGTCAGTAAGGAATTTTTCCTTGGCAAGAAATCCCAGCCAGTCAATAATCATCACCCTTACTCTCACTTCTGTGTGATGGAAAGTGCCTTAATGAATTAAGATTCCCAGTTAAGCTTGACAGTATCCCCGTGAAGGCTGTGAAAACCCAGGGCACACAGAAGCAGATAGAAGGACTATTCATGGTTAATCAATGTCTATCGGAAAAAGAAGGGCTATTTTCTGTCTTACGTTGGATGCTTCCCTGTGGTCCCTAAGCATGGAGCTTTGGTATGCTAGACTGCTATACAATGACAGGACACCTTTGGATCTTAGGTGTTACGAACAATCTTCAGCAGACACCTCTCGAAGTTCGCTGAGCATAGCAGAATCAGGCTCCTCAGCGCTATGCTTCAAGTTAGCTGTCCAAACTGAGCTGAAAGCTAGCACTCCTGGTCCCCGCAAATTAGAGAGTCTACATACGTGACTGCTTGGAGTCACACCATTCCCCTTGGGAAGAAGCCTCTGCCTATCCTAGACCTACAACTGCACTCATGTAGTTATGATAACTTGGCAATAGGAACAAAGTTATGTGTTTTGTTATCTATATGTGTTACTTGTACGCTCATTATTGAGATGTGCACTGTCTCCTGTCACCTTCTACATTTTCGGACAGCTACTTTTTTCTTTTTTTTTTTTTAATATTACTTTGCAGAGAAAACTCATTAGCCTCTAAAATACGAAATTTGTTATCACTGCAACTGATTTTTTCTCCTTGCTGTACTTGTTTGTCCTATCTTGAGTTCCAGTTTCATCCAGTAAGCCAAAGCTGCATATCACCATAACAGCGATTTGTAAGTATTTTTTTTAAACAAGAAGCTTGTTTGCTTTTCAGAATAAGAGATGAGATGGGGGAGGAAGAAGTGGGGATGAAATACATAACATATCTCAAAGATACATGGATGCCAAGTGAAAGACCATTTGGCTTGGCGCTACTCTTCTTGGTTAAAAATTCGTTGCTTTTAGCAGAGCACTTCTTACAACATGGATTCTCAAGCCTTATCATGAGTACGTGAATAAGCCTTATGAAAGTGTATCAGAATTATAGTCCTTAGTTGTGTTATAACTCTGAACAGCAGATATGAGTCTTCTGTGAAAGCCCGACCTCTAAAAGCAAACAGTTTTTGATTATGCATTATCAGTCTACATCGGTAACTGGGTACCTAAGCAAAAGCTGACTTTTTGATGCAGGTTCTAGTAAAGAGAAGGTCTGATTTACTATACAGTACCAAGTGATGAGAAAGTAACATTTAAGACTACGAGCTCTATCAAGAGTCTTTCTGATATAACAGCAGAACTTGTAAAGGATACCTATAAGGTCATCAGTTAAATAATGTTATTATCTAGGCATTAGAGAAAAGAAAAAGGAGTGCCAGACCAGTAAATAACTTCCCCAAGGCCACCCAGAAACGTAGTGACAGAGCGGAGAAGGGACCCAAACAGCCCAACTCCCTGACCAGCTACTCAGCTGAATGACCATCCTTCCCGGCCTGTGCCTATTAGTTCCATCTCAAGGCTATGTAGGAGACATCAGCAATGCTCCGCAGTAGCGTGGAGAATTACACACCGACCCACAGGAGTAATGGACCAATATAACATTAATTCTCTAGGAGCAGCGGTTTATAGTCCATAGGGTTCAGGCCACAAACTTGGAACAGTGTGAGGCTGTGAATCTGTTTTTCTATCAAACTTCCTCCCTTGGCAGGAGCCGTGGTCTAGCAAGGTATCGATTCTGGCACAAGGCAGAGGTCGGGTAGGGAATGGAAGAAAATACCACCTCTGATAGTCATGGTATACTCTTTACAGCACATTTCAAGTTTAATGATAACATATAAAGTTATATAGTAACGCTACCCAGAAAGACACATCGTAAATAGTTACGAGTCGCATTTACTGAACTAGAAAAGGAGTGAAAGCAGCCATTCAAATAAGTCAGAAACTGGGCAGGATGTCAGTATAAACCATTTGAACAAATACATACAATCTGGACTGGTTTCAAATTCAAACTTGCGGCTGTTTGTCCCATATCCAGCTGCAGTTCGCGCTCGAATTTGGAAGACGTAGGTGGTATCAGGTTTGAGGCCGCTGATGGTAACATTGGTGCCCCTGGCTCTCAGAATAGTATAGCTTGTCTCTTGTTCCTGCTTTTGGGAAGAGAAATTATCAGATTAAAACCACACCCTAAAAAACAGAAACAAGAGGTGGTTGGTACAAAATTACTACAAATCACCTGAAGAGCACCGGCATATTTTTTGAATATTTATAGCCTGCCAAATGCTTGTACAGCCATTCATTTTCAATCAGCTAAAATCTTTTGATTAGCAAGAAATCTACATCATTAGAGCTTCTATGGCCTTGTGCTGTAAATCAAATACTAGACATGCTGAGTATATGACATTTCATTAAATGGCTTTGCATCATTTTGTCCATGGTCTGTAATACAACAAGAAAATGAAGATTAAAAAGTTATTTAAAAAACATAAAACAGATTCGCCTACTGCACTGAACTGGAAATTGTAGCAGGCCAAATTAGACATTTTAGGGCCCTGCAGAGCTATTGCAGGATGCAGTTTTTACTGCCTCGCATTTTACAAGACAGTATTTACCTTCGTAACAGTCAGAAGAGAAACTCCACTCGGGCTCCTCGCCTCAGCTCTGCGAACAGGCAAATATAACTCGTTTTCTATTATGCTATAAAAACTATGAGGTTGATGCGCCCACCCTCATTTGGGCAAAACCCCACTGACCTTGCTCCTGAATGAGTCTTGGGCTTTAGTAGCCAGAAAGGAAACCTGTGTTTGCTCCTTACTGCTCTTTGCTAAAGAGCAAGGTGTGTGTCCAGCACAGATGATATGCTCACAACCACACTCTGCTTACTAGTCACACATTTCTGACATAACGACTTTTTATGTAAAATAAGAAATGGACCATTTTGTAATTTAGTAAGTTTGGATACACTTCACACTGTGTAAAAAGCTAATTCTGATAAAAGTATGTCTCAGTCCCACTGTAAGCACAGTCTAAAAATTTAAGCATGCATTTGCAGTCTGAGGTATTGCTTATTTTACTTAAGCCATCCTGTACCAAAAGAGCATTTTTGGCTTCCTAAAAATGGCAGCTGGAACTGCCTCAGAAAAGATTTTGGACAGTAGCCACACATGTGGGGAACTGTGAGAATCTCAGTTGTATAGGTTCCCAACCATGAACTTTTTTATTCTGGAGATGGTGAGGATTTCATATGCTGCCCTTTTACTTTGAACACTCTGAAATACCTAAAACCATTGAGTTTTGCTTGGTTGAAAGCAGAAACTGAGTTAAGTTCATGTCGGATGCAAACAGTCTCACCTAATTCCCACTATGTTTTATGGCATTGCATTAGCTTGCAAGGTACTGACATTTTAACTTTGACAACACTAGAGTGCCGATGCACAAATACAGAGGTTGGAAAATACTCAACACACTCATTGTCAAAGCCAGCTCACCTTCATGTGAAAAGTTCAAGTGACTAGAGTTGTTTTAGTATGTTTGCTCTGCAGTGCTGTCTAGAGTAAGGAGGTTAGGTTTATTCTAAGTTAGTAGGCGGACATCGGAAACTGTTCACTTTGGTGCTACAGAAGCCTAACTACCCTGTTCTTGGCAGTCTTTGATATAGAAAGAAACAGAAGCATTTTCACCGTAGTTAGGGAAATTGCCAGATTCTCCACATAATATTCAACATCAAGCACACGAGTAATCACAGTGAAGGGGGGGAGGGGAAGAAAAAGCAGCTAAGCTGGTGCCTATAAGTTACCATCCAGAATCAAAACCTCAGATAGGGTGAGCTGGACCTAGTCTTCAAAGAATGACTATAAAAATGTTTACCATGGCCCACTTTCTTTGCACACTAAAAATAAAAAGGAAACCAGCATTGGACCTCCTCATAGCTTCCTGATACTTCTCTGAAAAAGTTTTCTGTTATAAATTCAGGGGAGAAAATTCACAGGAAGTCATCCCAAGGAGCTAACAGGTTTGTGTAAAACTATTTATTTTTGAACTAACAAAGGCCCAGTATTATAATTCACAGGCTTTCCTTATCTCATCATTCAGCTGAATGTAGGCAACTATTTTAATTTCAAAGACATAATAATCTTGTCTTTAAAGCATAAAATCTTTTGTGTATGCTATGACTGGACATTCATTTTGATCTCACTTCAGGCTGCTTTTATGAAATGCAAACATTTCCTTCTTGTGCAGATACATATGTGCAAGGGAAAATATAGTCATGGTCCTGTCTTTAATAATCCACAATGGAACTTGGAAAATAAACTTTTAAAACAATGGTATGGAGGATGTCATGATATCTTAGCTTATGGTAAGCTTTTTACACACATATTTTGTAAGTCATTTTTTATGTTACTAGTAATCAAATCAGGGAAACACCACATAAAAGCCCAAGTTTATCTTCCTTGGGGATGAAGTACAACTTCAGAGATACACCACTATAGCTGCCATAAGCAGAAGGAATATACAAAAAGGAGAGTCAGTCTTTGCCAAGCAGAACTTTAATGAAACACTCTGATGATAAATTTGAACTTGGATGCACAAAGCATATTCTTCCTGAATATTTCTGCATAGTTTACCAGACACAATCTTTACTGGGAAGCAAATCCCACTACTGTTAGTGTCTCATTTGCAAATGACATTTTATAATTCTAAACTATGTTTTACAAAAGACATATTTTGGACACATTTAACATTTATAGTGGCAGTACTAGTGAGAGTGAACGGTATGTCCTTTTCTAGATAAGCACAGTAAGTGTTTATATTACATGAGGAAGAACATTTTCTCCATCAGCTGCATGTACACTTGAGAGGCCAGAACCAGACTACACATCTTCGGGAGGAACCCACAGTCTTGATACCGCTTCCCCTTATTGCCAGGCGTGAACTGTTCGTCGATACGACAGTTCCTACAAACCTCATGGAGTATTCGTGGCCTACCTACCCTCAAAGCCAGAATAATAAGAGCAACTAAGTGCATTTGCTTGCATATAATTTACTTTTTCAGCCTCAGAAAGAGCACAAACTAGACACCATTATTTATTTGTTGGCTTTAACCAGTCTACTGAGCACACAATTTCAATGATGGCAATAGCAAATCTATTTTAGTAATGTGAGACTGCAATCAAATTTCTCTTATTGTTTGCAGCAGACTTCACCTTAATAAAGTGTGTGAGATTTAGTTATCATAATTGTAAGCCACATACTTCAATGAAGCAATTAATAGTTTATGTGTGGTATTTAGGAGATGGGGGTTTTTGCATGACAAGATACTCTTTCCACAGAACATAATTACGTGAGCAAGGACAAGGAGGAAACAAAGTATCTGCTTGTGTAAGAAAAAAACCTGACTTTTGTTATATGTACTCTTTGACGGCTGATACAGTTAAAATCCAGCACAGCGTTATATGGATGGACTAAACTGGGGTGTCATTTGGTACCATTAATTTAACATAAAATGTTACACCCTACCATAAAAAATAAATGCCTAGAAGTTCCATACAGTATTCCTCTGAAAGAGGATTTTATTTCTTTTAAATGTTTTGAATAAATAGTAACTGGGGCCTCAGAACCAGGCCCTATAGATTTTTACAGAAAATACAATTCTATTTCAAACAGTGAGTCTGAAAAACTGTCACTCTCAGTTCGTAATGTTATGGATTAAAACCCCATAGGTTCATTCAAAAAAGTCAAAACAATTTCCCAAAACTGTAGCTCCTACTTTCTCTAGAAACACCACATAAAGCTCTATTCTCTCTTGGTTATGCAAGTGAAATCACTGGTGAAAAAAACCTGAATAGCTTAATTAATTACTCTTGCAGAAAATAAGTATTTTCCACATAATTTATGCCAATAATGCATTAGAAAAACTACACGATATCATAATTTAGACACAGGACATTCTATTTTTATTCCAAATCTATTCTAACATCCTGAATATCAGTAACATGCATTGCCCATAAATATCACGTATTCTTTGAAATTTAAGAACAACCTAACAAAGTAAAAACCCCACATTTGCATGGACAAGGTGTATGACAGAATTGGGCTGACCTGTATTACTCTATTAATGCTGTATTTTATTAATTTCTAAGAGATTACAAAAGGTATGGCAATTAAAAACAAGCAGGAAGGAAAAGAACGGCTCAACATAAATCATCTACCAGCAACCAGGTATGACCTGTCAGGAGAAATACCCAGACTGCTAACAGTGAAGGGTTTATTTCCCAGCAGCTGCCACTTAACAGCAGTGGTTTTTTGATGAGCACAACCAAGATGATTTCTGAAGCAGAAAATCAAGCGGATTAGACCAGTTTAAAAAGAAAGCTCTCTTTTCAAAAGAGGAGGGAAGGGGGGCTGCTTAGAGATCTCAGACTGAAAAGCAGCATCTTCCAAAGGTGTTTGGAGAAGAAATGAAGAGTAACAGTCCAGCATGGGCTGCTCTGACCTCAGGTAAGTTTAACATGTACAGAGTAGTAGTTTCCAACCTTTTTCAAATTGCAGACCTAAAAAGGGCAATGGATTAAAGCCTCCTGACAATAGATTTGCTTTGCTTAGTTACCTTTCACAAACCCTGAGGAACAGGCTTCCGACTCCCCAAGGCGCTGCAGACCACACATTAAAAACACTGGTGTCAGAAGGTTGCTTTTTAAAACCCCTTTGCCCTAAATGGTCTGGCTCTTATTGTCAAGCAGTTGGCTCCTTGGTTTAAGGAGCTGTCTGGTGCATATGAGCTCTTGATCACAAACTTCAAAGGGAAGAAACACATGTGCAAGATCAGCCTCGTAAGACGGGTTGTCTTATGAAGCTGTCTTATGACAACCAGTTGCTCCGTAAGACTGCCTAGTCTGTGCATACAGCAGTACTGGAAGGTGACAATTTTCTTGAATAAAGCGAGCCAATTTCAGTGCAGAACGATGATCAAAACACCAAAAAAAACTAAATACACAAGTAAAACTTCTCGGTTGTTCAATTAAAGTGAACTAAATGCACACAAGGGGAAAAATTCTTTCCCTTTGGAGCAACTAAAGCCAGAGAGATCACCCTAATGCCACGACGTGCAACACACCCGTGCGTTACATCCTGCACCCCGCGCTGCTCGCAAGGACTTCTACCTGGGGAGGCTGGAGGTGGAGCTGAGTCGGGGCTGCCGCAGCTCTTGGAAAACAAAGGTACGGCCAACGGCAGCAAGAGCAGCCAGGTAGGTCTCAAATGAAGGACAAGTTAATCATGCAGATAAATAACCTGGCCTGTCCAAAACAGGCTGAAGTTCTGGGATCTTTCAGGCATAGGCTCTTTGTGAGGTAAATAGCTCTTCCAAGCCTTACTAAAAGGCAGTATCTATTTTCTTTTCTTTAAAAAACCTGGAAACAAGACAGCCTAAGTAATTCCTGCGTCCCTTCAGTGCTGAGGATGTACAAATAATAAAGATGTACAAATCCGAGGTATAAGCCTGTTCTCTTTTACTTCTCAAGCCCAGGATCTGGACTTAATCCTGTCCCCATTGAAATAAGAGGGGGGGGGGAAAAAAAGTGAAAGTCTACAGGCAACGGCTCTATAAGGTGAAACTGAACTGAAATGTTTAGGAAGCTTTCTTCTTCCCCTTTTATTAGTAGTACTACATACGACCAGATTTTTACCAAGGTCTTTGAAGGTTCTAATGCTCACCAAAAAAACCCCACCCAAAATCAGATGACATACTAATTTGGCAGAATTCTTTTTAGAATACAGCCTTCCGATTCCCATTCTTTGGCTGGAGATCAGGTGTGAACTATCAATACCACACTGTCCCACTGGTAAGCTCCATGAGAAAACTTTCTAAAGATTAACTGAATATCCATGGAGTCTTTTTAACAGCAGTTTCTGAGTGGATATTGGCACCACATCTTCCCTGGTACGTATGAAATATAAACCTGAGTTCTAGATATGAACAGCATTAGTAAATGCTAAATTAAATAATTATTTCTGACACTTTTTCAAAGTTTGTCAACTTCAGTAGCAATACGTTCTATCAAAAGGTCTCTCTGACCAATCTAAAAATGGC